GTCAAAAGCATGGCAAGTGGCACAGACCTTAAAATTTTTGCCTTGTCAATGTGCAACATTTAATCACTGCAAGTTATAATCTTACTGTGATTATGGCATAAATATTTGTCGTATGTATCCAACAGGTGGTAAATTTCAATGAAAATTTGCACAAAAAACATTGCAAATGCATTTTAGCATAAAATTGACTTTGAAATTGACTTTTAGGTTTTGCAGTTGTGAGGAGGGATTTTTGAAATTACACTGAAAAACCACTGCTTTTATATATAATAAATAATTATATTAGTATTATTCCGTATTCTAAGCAAACCCTCCCATATGGAAAAGATATATATAAATCTTATAAAGTTTGTATCTGTCTTGCATGAAACTTGTATGAAAAGCATACAAGGTCATGCATAATGGACCTTCCATGTGTATGGACATGTGCAGGTATATATGTATGTATATGTATACGTATGTATATTTAGTGTGTACATGTGTGTGTACATGTCTATAAATAGGAATAGTAGTGGTACAATAGCTATATCAAGCTATATAGTTTATGTCTTCAGTATTTCCAACTATATCCATAGTCACATACTGTGTGTGCTACCATTGTATATAGTGTATCTTACTTTTTTTTCATTGATTGTACTTATTTGTATTTTTGTATTTTCTTGTGATATCTGTACCTGAGCTGAGGTGACGCAAAAATTTCCCCGTTGTGGGATCAATAAAGTCTTATCTTATCTTATCTTATCTTAAGAGTGAAAACAGATAAAAGATCCCTTGAAAATTTCTATAAATGAAACTTGTATGTTTTGGATACTTGCTAAATAAATATATGAAAGTAATGAGAAAGTGGCCACTTTCATGAGTAAATCATGTAAGCCTTATATGATTCACTATATGAAGTAGGCCACATCTTATGCAAGTCTTTTATAAGTTTTTTCTATTTCTTTTCCATATGGGTTTGCATGTGGTTGGTCAATAACATCTTTGACTCATAATGTTGGCTAATTGAACATTTTTTTATTGAGTAAAATTAAAGGTTTGCGACTTATTACAATATTACACACCTCATGGGATTCTTAATGTCATCAACTAATCCTGTTGAACGCCACAAATATACATACATAATATATACTGCATACATGATAAAATATTTAAATGCATGGTACAATATTTTAATGAAGGGATATAGAAAACTAGAAAATTTACCAGAACAATATTGATAACAATCATGTCTCATGACATGATGATGCTCACCCAAATTGTTTTTTTCTTATCCCCACATTGCGTTCTGGTGCTCTATTTTCTAGACTTTGTTTAGTGGCTTTTGATAACTTCTCATTAATCAGCAGCCAGTCAACTGCACTGGGAAGATGCAAAATTTGCACTGACTGTTAAAATACGTAGTGTAACAAATGTAGAATGTGCACAAACTAAATAAACATATGTTAATAAACGCATGCATGGTGAACATAGTCATAAGGTCCCCATTCAGTGATCAATTGATAATATATATGATTGTGGGACTTGTATAAAATATTTCTCGATGCCTTATACATGTTGGGACTCAGTGTCCTGAGTTTATGCAAACTTCCCAGTCAGACTGGTCCACTCACCTACAGGGAATTTACAAAGATGTGTTACAATCATTATAATGTGATTTAAATTGGGATTACTCCTTATTGTTATATTGGTATTTCTTATTCCGTATCATTCCCATGTCAACAGTGATAGGTCAGAGCCAGTGATATTGCAAGAATTAAAAATAAAGAGTAAGTAGGTTAAGCCATAAGGTAATGGGTAAAGGGTCATTTATAGTTACACTATAAGAATGACACTATGAAACAAAAACAAAAAAACAACAACAACAAATATATAATGTAATTTAAATTCCCATTAAAATTGTTTTTTTTTACACTTATTAAAGATACATTTTTTAAAATTTGCTTACAGAGATTTGCAGTGTACTCTATACCCTCCTCTAGCTTTTTTCCCCCTGAAAACTGGGTTAAAACACTGAAAAAACTCAGTGACATCTCCCTGTACCCAGTGGTAACTAATGAACGTTATTAAGCACTGCTGTGGGCTAAATGAAAGTGTATTAGCTATTCTAAAAAGGAACAAACACACTTCTTGATGCTTGACATAATGAGAGAACTAAAAAGAGCTCTCAGGTCATTTTGAATCCATTAGGACAGAGCAGGCTCTTAGGTAACACGCACACACAGATGTGCACATACACACAAAGATACAAAAAAAGGCGACATAAAAATAATTTCAAAAATCCCTCCTCACAACTGCAAAACCTAAAAGTCAATTTCAAAGTCAATTTTATGCTAAAATGCATTTGCAAATAAATCTGGGAGCTGTACATGGTACATTGTAGATAAATCAATGTTGAAATGATCTAAAAAAAAGTGTGCTTTTCAACTATGTACAACAAACACGTGGAAAGACTGATTGTGTATGTGCGTGCGCATACATGCATGTATCTGAGTAAATGGGATTCTGACGACCAGACGACCCGCAGTGATGAAAACACACTCCCACGTTACAGATCACCCCTACACACTGATGCACTAAACAGAAGGAGGTAGATGCACTTGCGTAAGTGTAGAGGAATTTGCCAACCTACATGTCAATGGAATCATTTGCAGAGAGAGAAAGATGAAAGAACTGGGTTTTGTGGACAATGTCTCATGTGTATAGTACATCATGAAGGCCTTTTTTGAATACAGCATCAATAACTATGCAGTGGACTTGTGTGTTTCTTCCAGTTAGTATTTGATATCCATCATAATATAAAAGAAGGGTGGGCTGTTTGAGTAGATATATTTCTTCAGAAGGACAACTCCCCCTTAGCAATATAACCAAATTAGATGCATTCAGTGGGAAAATGGCCAAAAACTTGCATAAAGTGTGTATAAAGCTACAAAATACAAGCAAATGTAAAAGTTACATTTGTTTCTGAACACAAAAGTAAGAGACCAGAGAGCATTATCAAGACAGGAAGGGGGAATGTGACATTTCAACTTCGAAAAGGTTATAACCTCCATCATGTAAATATATATTTTCACTAGGCCATCCCTTTTCATCTGAAAAAGACAACTCTCATGTTACTCACCGAATGAAAAATGAACAGGGAACCACAAATGTGACATTTAACGGGGAAAATAAATGGACTTTAAAGGTTTTTTTGAACTGTTCCAACAAAATATTGAAAACAGCTGATGTGAAGATGTAACAAAGCATAGCAAACAAAGCAAATCCTTGTCATATCCAAAATATTTAAATTAAAAAAAATGTTACCCCCCCCCTCCCCCCTATTTTTTTCAAGCTTTCAAGTCAAGCTAACTGAGAAGCATTGTCTAAAAATCGTAACATGAATTCATTAGCTTTCCTTCATGCCTCCAAACTAATAAATGCTCAAAGTAAAATATTCTATAACAATACCTTCGTAGCATGGAATAAATGGATTACATGCTCCGAGCGGAGTCATCCCACTTTATTGAAAGTTTTCAAGTTATCGAAAAAAAAAATACAACTGTATCTCCATTCCCATTATCAACCTTACCTGTAACGCACCTTCCGGTCTCCTGTGTCTCAGTCTCCTGAATATTCACTGCTCTTTGTTTATTGTGATTATCCTGCATGAGATATGGCTTGCTGCAAGCCAAATGTCCCAGAAGGGAGAATTAATTCTTGAACTTGAACTCAATTACAGTTATGCCGAAAAGAGAGTCTCTGAGTAACTGGATTGCCTTACACCTGTTTATCAAGAGTAAAGCTTGTGTGGGCTTGTGTCCTCGGTTCAAATCCCAAGACCTACACAAAAGAGCTGTGGCTGGGGAAAGCAAATCTCCAATTCTTTCTGCTCTCTCATCAGCTATAGTCAAGTCGTCCTTAAATAAGGGCCCTTCAACAACATTTTCACTGCAGCTACTGAATGAGTAGCAATTTACATTTGCTAATTTTCAATATAATATTATCTGTCACTTATGAGACATTAAGACAATTCTGACAAAATAAGAATGCTCACATTTCTTTACTTTAATTCAATGACATTACATTTTTAGTTCCAAGTCTCTGTGACTGAAGAAAAGTGTGCACAAATACTATTAGTGTTCAAAGCATTGCTCCAGGCACGGATTTCCCTGTGTAACCTTATAGTCCTTAGCTGTCAGTATGAATGCATGGCATTGGCCTGAATGGAATCTGGATATCTGTCGACGTGTGTGTCCGTGCTGTCTGTGTATTTCTTGTATATATGTGTGTACATACATGCAGGTGTGCAGTGTCTGCATACCTACAGTTTCTGTATCTGATCACTGACATGTATGTGTTGCTGGAATTTCTGGACAGGGGAACTCTGCCTCTACAGAGTCCTTTCAACACCCGCCGCTCCATGCGCACGCACACACAAGCACATCACACATCCTACCGCTGACACACACATGTCACCACAGCAACCAGATACAGCTGAAGACGTGCTACTGACAGAGAAGGAGAGACCACCATACTGGCAGACCAGAGCTTTTCAAAGAGTAGAGCTACTGGGATCGCTTATTACTTTTTTTTTTTTCAAATATTTTTTTTCTTGAGAGCCAAAAAATTTCATATTCATCATCTCATCAAGTACCTGAAGGTGTATATTCACACTTACATTATTTTTACCACATGGGACTCACATTGACTGATTTCATCTTGAATGCTCACTGTCAAAACCATCATCGTCAAAGTGGTGTGATGTAAGCTTCATGTGTCACCACGACACATTTACGAGATGATGCAATCTCACTACTGACATGGTTAGGCAGGAAAACAAAGAGGGGAACAAGCTTTTTTGCCTGTTTGTGGTGAACATTAAACGCACTTTGTAAAACACGATCAGCACAATGCATCATAAAGCTAAACTGTAAATAAAGGCAAGAAAACAAGTCAGATTTGAGTTTTGATCTACATAAAGCATGCACACACACACACACACACACAAGAATTAAACTTACTTCTGACAGGGCAAAATGTCAGCACGTTCCTCCTCTTCACCCTGTCAAAAACAACATGGAGTTAGTCACTGCATACACTAAAAATGCACTGTTAAGCATTTGACATCAGGATATGAAAATCTGATCTTTAAAGAGATTGAGCAGTCATTTAAAAATGGGGGGATTTAGGCCTGCCTTTCCCTAAGCTTTTTGAACACGACAAAGTGGTCACAACCTCTAAAGAGTGATTATTTGTGGTGAGGTTGAGAATATCATCAGGTCATCCCTATCTTTGTAGTCTAGTCCCCCCCCCCCCAAAAAGAAGCATACATAAAAACAGTCAATGTTAGTCAAAAGTGAGCTCTATCTAAAAGAAAGATTTGAAACATTACTGTTGAAAAGTAGAACATCCGGCTAAAAATACTAGCAAACCCCACCAAAGAGACTCTAAAACTGCACTTCCAGTTTGAAGCAGGCGACACATTACCATTTTGTAAAAATATAAAATATGAATGCATCCACACCATATCCTGTCTTTGCAGTCTTATCTACCCCCTACCCACCCTTCTCCACCGCTTCTTCCTCCCATCTGGCTTTCATTTTCTCCACCTGCCCATCAGTCTGCAGGCAGAGACAGGTGAGCCTATTACACGCTTCTCACATTCTGCTAGACACACTCACAGATACACACACAAAAACACTCTAGCTCCACTTCATGGTAATTTAACTTGCCATGCACATCAGCCAAATCTGCTGCGCTGTAAAACGGCTGTTACCGCAGCCACGTCATGCTTCTGATGAAGTGGTCTAGTGTCCAGTATAAAAGCTACAACAAACTCCATTACAGTCTGCCGAATCATAGATAATGGATACGAGTGAAGAGGTTCAGCCCTAAAATTTCTATTTTGTGGTTTTGAAAAAGTGAAATGTTGAGCATTGGAAAAAATAAAAGATAATCGGAGCTCCTGTTAATAAATTACAATTATTGTGTGACTTGAATAATATAGCCAAGGGTTAAAGTGGGATAGAGCAGGTGAAAGAACCCTAAGTTCTGGTGTAGTGGGAAGCAGGTGAAATGAATCAGAAATGAAATAATTTTAGATAATAATGTCTGTTGTGAGGTGTAGCAAATCCAGCTGACCTATGTTGCTGCTGTATTTTACTGCTCTTTGTGGATTTAGCTCACTACATTCTGGAATACAGCAGATGCTAGATGAGTGATATCGTGGCTGCTTTCCAATCAGTATAAAGGTGGATTTAGCCAACTGTTACTAAAGAACTTTATCAAATTGATGACTCCTTCAGGAAGCAAGTCGTTTTACTCTTCTGGACACTTATTTGGGCAGTTATTTTGAAGCACTCTTTCAATTAACTTTCATTTTAATGGTCAAGGGGACATAAAAATTACAGAACATATCCAGTTAAATCTGATAAAAATCACTTAAAAGTTGGCTGACGTTGCACAAATATGGTTTTAAATCTTTCAGCCTTGAAAGATATATATTGTACCACAGTCTTTACTGTTGCAAAATTCCCCATAAATTTCTTGAGGATTCTTTCAGTACCATATCTCTTGATTATAATGTCTGCTACCCAGGACCTAAAGTAGCGCCGACTGTAGATACCACTGCATCAGTTCAGCAACGTCCATCTTTGCAAAGTTTACCGCAATACTGCTTACTACACAATTTAGACAATACAGTAAAGTGGTTAAACTAGGTAGTATAACTAATGTTGAGCAACATTTGAATAACAAATTTATTTAAGTGATGTATATTACTACAAAGTTTTATAGCAGATTTCTACTGTACAGCAGGGTTTAGTGTTTCGAAAAAACAAAAAAACCTCATCCGAGGATTTATTATTAGATTTTTTTTAAGTAAGCTAACACATCTAATATATACTACTAAAAGTGATGATCAGTGCACTACACAGCACAAAGCGCATGCCTGGTCATTAAGAACTGCAATATCATTAAAATAAAAACAAACGAAAATCTCTTTGCTTAATAATGATGAAACGGAAATAAAAGTTATGGCCTTACTATGTAAATCCTGTTTTAATCAACTGCTCAGTAAACATTGTTGGCCAGGATTCATCTGTCCACTTTACAATATGAAAAAGCTTGAATTGTGCAGCATAAATAAATCCTATCAGAACTGTTATTCTTCCTACCTTCATCCTTTAGTTTTCAGTTCATTAAAAAATGTTGTCAGATATCCGGTCTCCTAATATTTTCTGGTATAGATGAACTGAACTGAATTCGGTATAACTTGTTGTTCTTGAAGGTTATTTATTTATTTTCAGAAATCTTGTCTGCCTGCCTGGTTGGGTGGTGGGAAGGCAGAGATAACAGGTGTGTGTGTGTGTGTGTGTGTGTGTGTGTGTGTGTGTG